GCAAGACTTTCTTGCCCAAAAAGAGAGAATAAGGAAAAAATATGTTGGGAAAAGTGTGAAGCTAATCAAAGCTAAAGTACAAGTAAATGAACACGATTTAACCCAAAACAAAGGAGAAGATGCTATAAGAAGACACAACGGACAAAATTACAATGGGACATTCATTCTTTCTCTTGGAAATAACTTCCTTACTTCTCCAAAAGCGATTGACACAAAAGAGAAGCCTTATAAATGTTTGGAATGTGGAAAATGTTTTAGGACAAGCTGGCAATTTACTATCCATAAAAGGATCCACACAGGGGAGAAGCCGTATAAATACACGGAGTGTGGAAAGACCTTTGCTCGAAGAAGTCATTTTATTTCCCATAAGATGATCCACACAGGGGAGAAGCCGTATAAATGCGAGGAGTGTGGAAAGAGTTTTGCTCAGAGAAATGGACTTACAAGACACAAAAAGGTACACACAGGAGAGAAACCATTTAAATGCATGGAATGTGGAAAGACCTTTGCTCAAAAACATAATCTTATTTCCCATAAGATGATCCACACAGGGGAGAAGCCATATAAATGCATGGAGTGTGGAAAGAGTTTTGCTCGGAGAACTGGACTTACAAGACACAAAATGCTCCACTCAGGGGAGAAGCCGTATAAATGCACGGAATGTAGAAAGACCTTTGCTTATAGAAGTAGTCTTATTTCCCATAAAAGTATCCACACAGGGGAGAAGCCATATAAATGCACGGAATGTAGAAAGACCTTTACTTATAGAAGTAATCTTATTTCCCATAAAAGGTTCCACACAGGGGAGAAGCCATACAAATGCACGGAATGTGGAAAGACCTTTGCTCAAAGTGGTCATCTTATTTCCCATAAGAGGATCCACACAGGGGAGAAGCCGTATAAATGCATGGAGTGTGGGAAGAGTTTTGTTCTGAAAAATGGACTTAGAAACCACAAAAAGCTCCACTCAGGAGAGAAACCATTTAAATGCATGGAATGTGGAAAGACCTTTGCTCGAAGAGGTAATCTTATTTCCCATAAAAGAATCCACACAGGGGAGAAACCGTATAAATGTACGGAGTGTGGAAAGACATTTACTCATGGCAGTGGATTTAGAAGGCACAAAAAGCTCCAGTCAGGAGAGAAACCATTTAAATGCATGGAATGTTGAAAGACCTTTGCTCATAGAAGTAGTATTATTTCCCATAAGAGGATCCACACTGGGGAGAAGCCGTATAAATGCATGGAGTGTGGAAAGAGTTTTGCTCACAATAGTCATCTTACTTCTCATAAAAGGATCCATGCTGGGGAGAAACTATATAGCAATAGCGATTCCACTTAGATTTATATGCTACTCCACAATGCTTTACCACTTTATCTCTGAGCAATTTACAAAGTCAGCATATTGTCCCCAGCAATCTGGGTCCTCATTTTAGCGTTCTTAGAAGTATGAAAGGCTGAATCAACTATTAAAAGTAATCTATACGAGTTCAAACTGTTTTCAATAAAATGCCAATTTGAAACTGTTCAATTTCCACTTATTTAAAATGCTCCATTCATTTTCTTGCTGAAATATTTCTTCTCATCCAGAATTTGCATTTCTTGCTCACTCACGATTTTCACTTTGCAAAGCCGCTGCCTTTTTTTTAGCTATTCCACAAAGATCTTTAATGTTCCCAGATGCAAATAGGCTTATGATGAAAAAAACAAGAACAACCCACACCTGAAATATTGTTCTTTGTCTGGGTGGCAACCAGATTAGAACTCTGCTTCAAATTACAAATAACAAATTGAATGTTCTTCAGCATTATAGAATTAACAGTTATTAAAAACAATCCCTCAACAGTGAGAAACACTTAGCAAAGTACTCTGAGCTGGAGTGAACCTTTAAAGGACCTTCTCGGGGGGCTCACCAGGGGTGGGGACTAAAAATTTTTACTACCAGTTCTGTGGGTGTCGCTTATTTTGTGGGCGTGGCTTGGTGGGAGGTTAATGTAACTGGATGGGCGTGGCCATTTAAAAAAAACTTTTAAACCTTAAGAGGTTGCAGAAAAAATACTTTTAAAAGCCTCTGACGATCCCAGCTGAGCATTTTTTGGCCGAAGAGGTTGTAGAAAAAATGCTTTTAAAAGTAAAAAAAAAAAAAGCCTCTGATGAGGTGGGCGGGGTAAGCGAGCAGTAACCGGGCCGGGGACTGGTTCGGGGGCGTGGCCAGCCAATGTTATTACGGGTTCTCCGAACTACCACAAATTTTTACTACCGGTTATTGCGAACCGGTGCGAACCAGGAGCAACCCACCACTGGGGCTCACCCAGATCCTCCCATTAATCCAACTAAGAATTGTGCCAGTTAGAGGATTTGGTGAAGGAGGAGATGAAGAGTAATCCAGTCAAAGGATGTGTGGTGATCCCTGGATCTTACTGATTCAGCCTCAATCTGCCCCCACCTTCCCTTTCCCCAAGGTTCCCCCCCCCAATCCCTTCCACACTTCTTGCCGCCAGTGGTGGGTTAGCCCCGATTTGCACTGGTTCTATAGAACCGGTAGTAAAACCGGCGGGAGGCTCCGCCCACTGACCCCGACGTCGCCAAAATGGTTCTGCACCTGTGCAAAAGAGCGTGGGAGCGAAGCGAGAGCGTGCGGCCCCGTTGCAAACTGGTACTAAAGGTAAGTAGAACTCACCCCTGCCACCCCATCCCGGCCAAGCTGCCATCTGGGACTCAGACCCCTCCCCACCTGGAAGGAGGCCAGCCAGCTGCAGGCAGAGCCAGGTCTGGGGGGTCTCCCTTTGCATTCCCCCAAATCCGCCCCTCAGCAAGGATCTTGGCATGGCTCTGCCAAAGCCTTGGTGCATCCTGGAATCAGGGTTGTCAGGGCTCTGGACATGGTCAGTCAGATGTCCCATGTGGCATCTGAAGTAACCAACTTGGTGTTCCGTTCTGGGTCCTCCTGTGCCTCTCCTGTGCCTCCTTCTCTTCCTTCCCTCCAGCCAAGCCCACCGTCACCATCTCCTCCACCACAATGGACCCCGCTTCCCCCAACACCATCCTCCTTGTGCACCACGATGGGCTTTTACCCGTTGAGGTCCAGTGGCTGAAGAACAGGTGGCCGCACAAGGAAATTTTGGAGATTTGGGGCAGCTTTTCCTTACAGAGACCTGAAAAAGTATTGCAATGAAAAAGAAAAGCACACACAAACACTAAAATCTTGCCCAGATTTTTCCACGTTTTGGGAAATTGCAAATGGGAAGGGAAGGAGGGGGACATTCCTTCCCATTCCTCCCTCGGGAAGGGAGCACCCCAACTTTGTGGCCAGTTCTTCTTGACACCCCTTTTCATTTTGACATTTGACTCAATTTCCAGCCCAGCGACCCCCAGGCTCCCTCCTTTGCTGCCACCCCCATCCTAGCCCCATCTTCTCTGTTCGTATGAAACTTCTGCAGAGTGAGAGCAGGGGAAGTGGGCCCTCCCTTCTTGATTAATCTTCTAATTAAGTCATTTAGGGAGAATTCCAGAATCTCCTGCAGATGAAATGGGGAGGAATCCCTGGTCCTTCCCAGCCTTTTCCTCCGTGAAATGAGCCTATTCTCCCTCTATCTGTCTCTGCCTATCAACCACCCCCTGCAGTGTGGGCCTGCCTTGGGGGAGGGGGTTGAAAGGGAATAAAAATATGTTATTCTCCCTGGAGCTGCTTCGAGAGAATCCAGGATAGGATGGGTGTTGCTCTGTTCTGCCTGGAGACTGAGCACGTGATCATAATTTGCACATGTAGTCCCTCCTTCCTCGCCTGGTGCTTCCCCAGTTCGGCTCAGTCTTCAGCGCAGAGAGATGTGTTTGAATGAGCGGCTTCACCTTTCATTCTGTGATCATCTAAGCGTGAGCTTTCGAAGGGATTTATTATTGTAATTGTGAGGATCGCTTTTGCGATCAGGCTGCTAGCTGGTCCGCTGGCTAGCGGCTTTTTGCCGGCTTTTCTACAGCTGAGGTCCCCGCCAGGTTCTGAAGGCCCTGGCTGAATCCCTGCCTCTGGCATCACATCTTCTCCAGCCTCCTCATTGTTTGACTCGAGTGCCAGCTGCACAGGGTGAACTGCACCACACCAGCCTCCTCGTTGTCAGAATCAGGAGATAAAATCAAAACCCTCGACTGGAAGGTGCAACTGAAGAGGTTTAATGTGGCGGAAATACGCAGCTGCTGTCCAATGGAAGAGGGAGATACGGACACAAATGGTTACTTTTATATCCATATAGCCTCCCACCGACCAGTCCGCTCCCACAGAGAGGGTCTCCTCAGGGTGCCATCGGCCAAGTTATGTCGGCTGGCGACACCCAGGGGGAGGGCCTTCTCTGTGGGAGCCCCAGCCCTGTGGAATGAACTGCCCCCGGAAATACGTAAGATCTCCGACCTCCGGGTGTTTCGCTGCGCTCTGAAGACCCTGTTGTTCCGCCAGGCCGGGCTATTAACATAACGATTTTAAACTGGGGTATTTTAAATTTCTGGGATTTTAATTGGAGCCTAATTATTTAATGATTTTAAATTTTAATTGTTGTTTTGTTCTATGTTTTTAAATAGGCTGTACACTGCCCTGAGTCCTTCGGGAGTAGGGCGGTATAGAAATAAAATTATTATTATTATTATTATTATTATTATTATTATTATTATTTATTATTATTATTATTATTATTATTATTATTATTTAATCTTTAGTGAGATTCACAGCCTTTGAGGCTGGTTAATAGCTCAGCAGCTCGAGTCCTAACCAAGGACCTAGGAACTGTTAAGGTATCGTCGGAGGATGTAAGCTGTTCCGAGTAAGGTGGTTTTTTGTAGAGTCAAAATGTTCAAGTCCGGCAAATTTAGAATTTCTAAATAGCGGGGTAGCCCTTTGGGTATTGCTCCGAGGGCTCCAATATTATTATTATTATTATTATTATTATTATTATTATTATTATTATTATTATTATTATTATTATTATTATTATTATTATTAAAATTAATTTAAGATTCGCAGCAGAGAAGACAGTCAGGAACATCCTGAGGTAAATCTCAAACGGCACCCAGAAGGAAAAGGCGGGAAAAAGGGAAACGCCCCCTTTCCACCCACAGCAACCAATCAGAGCGCAGATCCCCTCAGCCACAACAGGGTCTTTGAGACCATTGTGCATTTAACCTTCTTCAGCCATTAAATTGAATATCTTCACATTTAAAGTGTTCAAAGGAAACAGACGTAAAACGACTTTGCTTTTGTCCATTAGATGGAATTGTCAGGTTGGAATAATTGTTTTTTTTCCTTGCACTGTGCTAAAAAGAAGTCAATGTCTTTCTTTCCTTTTTTTCTTGTACCTCAAACTTCCTTTTCCCCTCTTTTTCTCCTTTCCTTAATTTCCTATTTCTATTTTTCTTTGTGTTTTGTATAATAAATAAGATCTGGAGACTCTAGAAAGAGTGCAGAGAAAAGCAACAAAGATGGAGGCAAAAACATATTTAAAAAACTTGGTTCCTGGAACTGGGTATTTTCTAGTCTGACGAAAAGAAGGAGGGCAGACATGATGGCACCTTCTGATATCTCAGCGGCTGCCAGAAAGAATATTTATTTTTTCTCTTCTCTTCTCTTCTCTTCTCTTCTCTTCTCTTCTCTTCTCTTCTCTTCTCTTCTCTTCCCTTCCCTTCCCTTCCCTTCCCTTCCATTCCATTCCATTCCATAAATAAGAAGCAGGCCGAATGAAAGAGGTGGAGGTGGAGTTCCATTATATGTATATAAGAAATAATCAACAGCTCTAGAAACGCAACAGAAGAAAGAGGAAAACCTCCTTCCATGCATTTGGGTTCATATAAAAGGGGGAAAAGAAGCACAGACATCGAAGCCTTTGTCTGACAGGGAGCCATTGGGAGGGGCCTTTCCTCCTACTCCCAAGCCCATCCTCCCCGCCCTCTCCCTTCCCCCTCCCATTCACTGCTCTTTCCCGCCCTTTCTACGATCCTGGCACTTTGCACCAAATCCACCAGGGGGCGCCCTCTGCCAAGAGAAGGTGACTCCAGGCACTTCCCCATTGGTCCACTGGAGCCTTGCCTCTCTAGGACTTACGGAGAGGCTCCGGGTGAGCCTAGCGTTTCTTTTTCTTCCCTTCTCAGATACAGAAGCTGGAAGCCATTTGTAGTCTTTGCAAGGCAAACTTTCCTCTTGGGGGAAGAAGAAGAAAAAGAGCGGAATCCCTTGCAGGGATCAGTCCTGCAGCCCCAGAAATGGTCCCCTGAAGGAAAAGGCACCTGGAGACCCACCAGAGTCCTTGGAGCCATTTGGAGTTGCTCTGCAGGACAGAGAAAGGATGGAGACACAACCTTTTGCAAAGGAGGGAGCCGGAAAAGGCCCTTCAGCTGCTCAGCCTGGGAAGGGGGCGAAGCTCTGGACAAGAACCGGGCAGGAGATCCTGGAGGAGGAAACCATCCTCCCTTCAGAAGTTCAGCCCTGGAATTTCATCCAATACCTGGAAGCTGAGGGTCCCCGAGGACTTTGCAGCCGACTCCATGGCTTTTCCAGGCGATGGCTGAGACCAGAGAAGAACACCAAAGCCCAGATGCTGGACCTGGTGGTTCTGGAGCAGCTCCTGTTCCTTCTGCCCCCAGAGATGGAGGGCTGGGTGAGGGAGTGTGGAGCAGAGACCAGCTCCCAGGCGGTGGCCCTGGCGGAAGGCCTCCTCCTGAGCCAAGCGGAGGAGCAGAAGGAGCAGGTCGAGTTGCAGGTAAGAGTTCAAAACAGAATAGGGAATGTGTTTGAATACTTCACCTTTCCTTCCCAAACTTCTCTGACATTCATAATATGTGGCAATGTCCCACCTATTCTTGTAGGACATTGTTCCATTGTTTCTTATTCAACCTCACAGATGGATATTGGGGGCTTTGAGGTGGCGTTCTGAATATAGGAATCCACTTTACGTCGTGTGACGTACATTAATTCTGCTTCTTCCTTCCTCCTATTGGAAGTGCTGCACTGTGGAGATCAGAGATCCTGAGGGAAAGAAGAACCCATCAAATCCCCCTCAGGAGCTATTTTTCAGGAGGATCCCTTGGGAAGATCCAAGTCAGGACATCTCAGGAGGTAACTGAAGATCCTCCGATTTCCCATCTGTCTTAACTTCGTTCTCTCTTCTCTTCTATAGAATATCTCCTATTTTGTTAATTATGGATTTTGAAATTATTTATTCCTTACAGAGAAACAAAGAATGAAGCTTTCTGGTTTTTATGATGGAAATCAAACAGTGGTTGACCGTCCAAATCAGGTAAGAAAGGGAAAAGTTATTAGATTTCTATTCTCCCTTCGGGAAGTGAAGTGGGTGTGCAGAGGGCTCCCTCCTTCTATTTCCCCCCCTTGTTTGGCCTGGATTATTTTTGTGTTCTTCCACATGCAGAGCAGAATAGCATTTTCAAGTTCCTGTCAGCCAGCATAGCTTCCTCTTTCTGCTCCGTACTCCTCCAACTTTGAGTTTATAAGAAGCAATTTTTAAAAAGTCCTTCAAGAGTAAACGTATCGCAGTGACAGTAACTGCTAGAGACCCTTTTTGGGGGAGAATTCTTTGACTCGGAATTCTGCAAGGCTAATGAAAAATAACTAAATACTCACATTGCCACATTACCATTTTTTAAAAAACCTTATTTATAACCAGTAGTTCAAAAATAAGCAAACTGTATTAAAAACTAAAACCGACTATTGAAATCCAAAGGGAGTGGCCCTGTTGAGCATGTAATCCAGGACTACAAAATAATTTCCAATCCTCTAATTTGCGCCTCGATTAGGAGATCAAACATTCCCGCTTTGCAAAGGCTGAGAAATGATTTTCCCAGGGAATTTTCTCTTCTTTGTTTTCTTCCTTTCAGCCAATAGCTCAGACTACTAGATCAATCAGTGACAGACAGAGCGATAGATCAGTTGATCCAGAAATGGGATTACTTTACTGAAAGGCACTGAAAGTTCTGCAGAGAAGACTCTCCCCCTGGGGGTCGCCAACCTACATTGTTTGGCCGACGGCACCCTGAGGAGGCCCTCTCTGTGGGAGCATAATGGTCGGTGGGAGGCAATCGGTGGCAGAATGCGGTCCTGTAAATAACCAGGTCCTAAGCCATGGAGCGCTTTAAAGGTGGTAAACAACACCTTGAAATGTACCTGGAAGACCACCGGGAGCCAGTGCAGCTCGCGCAAGAGGGGTGTTACATGGGAACGACGAGTCGCCCCCATTATTACTCGCGCGGCTGCATTCTGGACCAGTTGGAGCCTCCGGGTGCTCCTCAAGGGGAGCCCCATGTAGAGAGCATTACAATAGTCCAGACGGGAAGTGATGAGGGCGTGAGTGACTGTGCGCACGGCGTCCCGATCCAGAAATGGACGCAACTGGGAGATCAGGCGAATCTGATAAAAAGCCCCTCTGGCCATGGCCGTCTTATGATCATCCAAAGACAGCTGTGAATCCAGGAGGATGCCCAAGTTGCGAGCCCTCTCTGAGGGGGGTAAGATCTCATCCCCAACAGCCAGCAACGGTGTTAACTGACTATATCGGGCCGTCGGAAGCCACAGCCACTCAGTCTTGGAGGGGTTGAGTCTGAGCCTGTTCCTCCCTATCCAGATCCGCACGGCCTCCAGGCAACGGGACATCACGTCAAGGGCATCATTGGGGAGGCCTGAGGTTGAAATGTACAACTGCGTGTCATCAGCATACAGTTGACACTTCACCCCAAAGCCACGGATGATCTCACCCAGCGGCTTCACATAAATGTTAAACAGGAGGGGCGAGAGGACTGACCCTTGTGGCACCCCACAAGTGAGGAACCTCGAGGTCGATCTCTGCTCCCCCATCAACACAGACTGCGTGCGGTCAGAGAGGAAGGAGGAGAACCACCGTAGCATGGTGCCCCCCACTCTGACCCCCTCTAGCCGACACAGCATGATACCATGATCAATGGTATCAAAAGCCGCTGAGAGATCTAGGAGGACCAGGACAGAGGAGCAACCCATGTCCCGAGCCCTCCAGAGATCATCAACCAATGCGATCAATGCCATTTCCGTGCTGTAACCCGTCCTGAAGCCCGACTGGCACGGATCTAGATAGACAGCTTCATCCAGGAATCGAGGAAGTTGTCTCGCCACCACACTCTCAACAACCTTCGCCGCGAAGCGGAGGTTGGAGACAGGATGATAATTAGCTAATACAGCCGGGTCCAGGGAAGGCTTCTTGAGGAGGGGCCTCACCACCGCCTCTTTCAGGGCGGATGGGAAGACACCCTCACTCAACGAAGCATTGGTAATCTCCTGAAACCAGCCTCGGGTAACCTCCCGGGAGGCCAGCACCAACCAGGAGGGACATGGGTCCAGTAAACATGTGGTAGCGTTAAGCCTCCCCAAAATCCTGTCCACGTCCTCAGGAGTCACATGGTCAAACGCCTCCCAGATAACACTCTCAAGACTCACCTCCGTCATCCGGTCCAAGGCTATCCAATCAGAGTCCAGGCTGCCCCGAATCTGAGCAATTTTGTCATGCAGGTATTGTCCAAAATCCTCAGCTCTACCCTGCAAGGGATCCTCCCTCGCTCCCACCTGTAGTAGAGAGCGGGTCACCCTGAACAGGGCGGTTGGGCGGTTCTCTGCAGATGCAATAAGAGTGGAAAAATAGTTAGATTTCGCCACTCTTATTGCCACTAGGTAGGTCTTGATATAAGACCTCACCAGTGTTCGGTCTGATTCGGTGCGGCTAGACCTCCAATCGCTCTCTAGGCGTCTTTTCTGGCACTTCATCTCTCTCAGCTCCTCAGAGAACCAAGGAGCCAATTGAGAACGGCACCGAGTCAGAGGCCGCAAAGACGCAACGCGGTCCAAGGCTCCGGCGGCTGCCCTGTCCCAGGCGGCCGACAGTTCCTCAGCCGAGCCGTAAGTCAGAGCCTCTGGGAATGGCTGAAGCTCCGTCAGGAATCTCTTGGGGTCCATCAGGTGCCTGGGACAGAACCACCTGGTCGATTCCGTCTCCCTGCGGTGAGGGGCAGCAGTCCGAAAGTCCAGCTGAAGGAGCGAATGATCTGTCCATGACAAGGACTTAATGACTAGGTCTCCTATTGTAAGATCATTCAACCACTGACCAGAGACAAAAATCAAGTCCAGCGTGTGTCCCCCAGTGTGGGTGGGGTCATGAACTAACTGGGTCAGGTCCATGGCCGTCATGGAAGTCATGACCTCCCGAGCCGCTTCCGATGTTTCACCGACGGATGGCAGGTTGAAATCCCCCATGACCATAAGCCTGGGGGTATCCACCGCCACCTCGGCTATTACGTCGAGCAGCTCAGGCAGGGCAGCTGCTATGTGGCAGGGAGCCAGGTACGTAGTCAGCAAACCCATCTGCACCCCCTGACCCCACTTCACAAAGAGGGACTCACAGCCAGCTATCTGAGGAACAGTGGCCTCACTGTTCAGATTACTTTACTGAAAGGCACTGAAGGTTTTGCAGAATCAATGAACTTGATAAAACTTCCCCAAATATTTCTTCAGTGGAAGTAGTTTTCAGATTTGCTCACGTTCTCACCTAATATTAGGACTTGTGCAGTGGTGGGGTTCAATTTTTTTAACAACCGGTTCTATGGGTGTGGCTTAGTTGGGGGTGTGGCTTGGTGGTCATGTGACTGGGTGGTGTGGCTAGCTGCTCATGTGACTGGGTAGACGTGGCTATCTGGTCATGTGACCGGGTGGACATGGCTATGTGCATAGGGACTACTCAGAGGGCTGAAAAAAGTCATTTCTGACTGATCCTCGCACTTTTGACCGGTCCTCGCACTTATGACCATCCTCACATTTATGCCCGTTGCGCCATTCTTAACAACCGTGTAAGTCATTTCAACACTACTTCTCTTCACCATGGTGACAAGATAGGACGCAAATCGTAAAATGTGAGAACGGTCGTAAGTTCAAGGACTGGTCAAGAGTGCGAGGACCAGTCAAAAATAACTTTCAGCCCTCTGAGTAGTCCATATGCACATAGGGACTACCCAGAGGGCTGAAAAAAGTGATTTCTGATAGGTCCTCGCACTTTTGACCGGTCATCATTTATGCCATAATTTATCTTCTATTCCAGAGATCTCCAACCTTGGCAACTTTAAGCCTGGCAGACTTCAACTCCCAGAAAGCTGGCTAGAGAATTCTGGGAGTTGAAGTCCACAAGTCTTAAAGCTGCCAAGTTTGAAGACCTCTGAGCTAGGGCTTTGGGACCAGCCTTTTGGGGAGGGGGTCCCATTTGGAGAGACCCCCTGCCTCTCAGGAAGCATCAGGCCCAGGCAGAGAAAGTTGCCAAGGTTGGAGATCCCTGGACTAGAAACCTCCAAAGGTCCCTTCCAACTCTGTAATTCTGGTATTGGCAAGCAAGCACAGTTAAGCTACTTAAATCCTCCAGAGCAGGGGTCCCCAACCTTTTGGACCTCAGGGACCACCAAGTTCATACTTTTAAATTTCGCGGACCACTAATACGAATCCAGTGCGCCGCTTGCTTTAGCACCTGGACTCCCAGTGACGGGATAGGGTCCTTCAGGCACTCTCCCCCCCTCTTTCTCTCTCCCCCCCTCTATCATTCTCTCTTTCTCTCCCCCCTTTCTCTCTCTCTCCCACTCTTTCTCTCATTCTCTTTCTCTCCCCCCTTTCTCTCTCCCTCTCTCCCCCACTCTCTCTCATTCTCTCATTCTCTCTCCCTCTCTCCCCCACTGTCTCTCTCTCATTCTCTCATTCTCTCTCCCCTCTTTCTCTCTCCCCCACTCTCTCTCTCTCATTCTTTTTCTCTCCCCCTCTTTCTCTTTCTCTCCCCACTCTCTCTCTCATTCTCTTTCTCTCCCCCTTCTCTCTCTCCCCCACTCTTTCTCTCTTTCTCTCTCCCCTCTTTCTCTTTCCCTCCCCCTTTCTCCCATTCTCTTTCTCCCCCCTTCCCTCTTTCCCACTCTTTCTCTCTCCCCCCTCTTTCTCTCTCCCTCTCCCCCTCTTTCTCTCATTCTCTTTCTCTCTCCCCCCCTCTTTCTCCCTCTCTCTCTCGCTCCTCCACTCTCCCCCACTCTCTCTCTCTCATTCACTTGCAGGGGGCTGATCTAGTGTCTGCAATGAAGAGCAAAATCTGGCTTCTTCTCTCTGCTGTAAGTGCAGCATCAGGATTCCGTCTTGGTATATTTGCAGTGCAAGGCAGCCCTCATTTCCTGCCAACTCGGAGCGGTAAACAGCATCTGGTTCGGGGAGCAGCCGGATTTTGCTCTCCATTGCTCTCTCGGC